AAATATCCCAACTATTTGATGTGATAATGTTCATCACTTTGGAATGACATTCAAAATGCATATTTTTATTCCTGGTCCAAAAGTTATTTGTTATAATTCAATTACAAATGTTAGTTCAATCAGTATCATAAGTAAGCATAGAATACGTCGTAGAAAACTTTGTTTTCTTTCAGACTATTTTAAAGTGAACTGTCAATGTTTTGTTTTCTTTTTTATCAAAGACTGATCGTATTAGTAAACCATTTATAAAAGTTGTTTTTTCCTCTCATTTCATAAAAAGCCTTCTTCCCCTAAAATTATGCATCATTATTCAAATTTTTCTGCATTTCAACTAATCTTGTTTATTTGTTTATTTATTCATGTTCATTTGAACAGCAAAACGGAAATCCGACAGTTTACTGAGTATTTGTTTTAATAGAAAGTGAAAAAAAGATGAATTATGTAAAGCTGCGCTCAATGTTCAATTCAGGAATAATGTATAATGTATAAACAACGACAATGTATGCATCAATTTGATTTTGTTTCAACAGAAAATTATAAATTAACTAATGAGTCTAATTTAACTTGACGATGCGTAAATATCAGTATACTACAACAAAAAAAAAATTAAAATCAAGTGAACTGAACAAGTGAGAACCAGAGACAGTGTGAAAGTGTGGTAAATTGTTTTAACTCATTCTAATCCTATTCAAAACAAAACAAAAACCCATTAATTATGATCAAAACATTTTAACAAAAGTGAAAGGAAATAAAAATGTTGTAAAATGAATAAATTGACGTTTAGTCTACTTTCAGCAAGTTATGCAAGAAGAAGAAGAATGTGAGGAATTCTAGCAAATTAATACACCGAAGTCGGAAATGAGAATAGATTTATTAAATGGACGAAAAAGGTTAGTGGATGATTTATTATAGACTGTAGAGATGTTTATTCTTATCTTCAAATATTTTCTGAGTATGATTGTTTAAACTTGGCAATAAATCAAATAAAAATACTTAATAAATGCATTTAATGTGACAAATGAATCATTTCTTATCTTTATTGAGCGTGAAGACACAAGAATGATTAAATAGTTCATTTTGGAAAAAAAAGTAATTCTGCAACACAAAACTGCAAATAAACCTTCCAACTTTGCAAGTGAAAGTTGATGTTGATGATATATGTGGCAGCCATTAAAAAGATCTTAATTAAAACGCGGTACCAGTTATTTTTTTCAACATCTAATTCTAAACAAACTCATTGTAACATGAAACCATTAAGAAGATCGTATAGAGTTATAGTGAAGTTGAATATTGTCTAGAAGTATAATCGAGAAAGTGCATTTAATCCTCCTTGGGATTTATTAGTTACATGTGTTGCATACTACTGTTAACAACCATCTAATTGTATCGAAAACTTGTGACTAAAATGGCACTATTAAAGTAGTTTAACAAAAGATTATCAACGAAACAATCTATTTCCACATAACATTGATTGTATATATAATTAAGAAACTATGTTTGTTTGATCGACTACTGTACCGACAACCAGCCATATGAATCTTGACTGTGGATAACACTTTCTATAAGTTCATTGTAAATTACATAAGCAGCCTTGTTTGACTGTTTAAATTATTGAGATTAAATTTTCAAATGAATTCTTGTTAAGTCCTATAATTATTTGTTCAGATTAATTATCAGGATGAATACTCAAACCTAAGACCAGTACATATCATTATCGTCTTCTTGATTCCTATTATATATATATATATATATATATATATATATATATATATATATATATATATATATATATATATATATATATATGAACTCTAATAATGGGAGTAATCCATAGTGATTTTGAAGAAGATTTATAGACAATTCGGTGAAAAAATTTATCTTTTCTACAGTACTGTTTATTCAAACTGTACAAACCTATTTATAGTTCATTTATAAATAAAGTAGTAGTGTGTTGAAAAATAAGATATTAATTACATCATATCGTGTGTCAAAGACTGTTGCTCAGTAACCAAGAATCGATGAGAGCTAACAAGAATAAATCATTCATGTGAAGGATAACAGTTCACGAGACGAATATGAGAACGGTGGAGAATTAGTGGAAAATCACCCCTACAGTGCATAGGTAAATAATCCACTCTTCCATCGAACTAAATCGTCTTTTTGTACAAATGATTTCAGGGGACATATCGGATGTGGCTATGTGTGCAGATTTCACAAGATGTTCTTGTGTTGAGCTGTTGATTCACATACACTCGTTTATTGGAAGCCAGGTAGGAGAATGTTCTGAGATGTGTTTGGAGAAAGCTCTATTTGTGAGGCCTGATAATGTGCTCCACAAGAGCTAGTTAGCTTATAATTACCCATTGATGTAATGGAATGTGAGAGTTTGTTCCTGACACATCAACGAATGCTGGGGCGGTTGGAAAGGACGATACGAAACTTGGTGGCGTTTAAAGTTCTCAAGAATTTCATCAAATGATTCTTCAAAACGCCATCAGCAATATTTCACTTAAACGTAAAATTCACGAACGGAGTATTCTAAGGACCTTTGAGAGAACATACAGATTGCAATTATGGTTTCACTTTCTGCTTAACAAACCTGGATGAACTACCGTTTTTGTGGAACGTCTGTCAGATGTTGGATAGTTCCTCATCTATAGTGTCTCTCATTATATTCTCCTGGTCCTTGGTGATGAGTGTTGGACTGAGTTTCTCTTTCGTTTCAATAGCACTTTGCTGTAAAAATTCGTACGCGGTTCATCTCAAGTGGGTTTTCGATATATAAACTTTCGTAGTGTACAAACTTGTCTTCTAAATAATAAGACATCGAGGAGATGAAATTTCTTATTTGATTATGAATCCAGTTTACATTTTACAGATTGATGACAGCTATTTAACTTATCCAGGATGAAATTGAGGTAACTGTTTTCATTGCATAAATCGTATTTTTATAAGTGGAAGACATCAGTCGTCCTTTAAAGTACTGCATTCTCAAGATTGTTTACGAAACAATCCGTCAATAGGGAACTAAGTGGTGAACTCATTTACAACACTAAGAGTTTGTTTGTAGAGTTGATCACTAAATATAAACTGAACATTTAAGAGCAAATCCCTTAAACAGTTTTTTATACACCAATATGTAGGTTTTTATTCTCATTTTAACTGCATATGAGGCATATAGTCTCTGTCTAAGGCCTATTTGTAAAAAGTTAAACCACATCTAATGATTTTAACCTCATCGCGATTACTTTGACATCAGTAAGTGAATCAACGAGCTCAAAAAAGTTTAGTGTTCTGCATTTGCTGATCCGATTTTAAACAGATCGTACGATCTCCGCTAGCCATTTATACTAACAATATTCTTCTGTTTTCACTGTAAATCATCCCTGATTTATACATAAAACACTATCATTCAGTGAAGTGGTGATGACAGTTTGAAGAGTGGCTTGAACTTTTTTTCTCATGTAGACTTTAATTGGTTGTCCCATGTTTCATTCAAACATGTAGAACATTTGAATAAAACTGGTATGTTCATCTGGACACAGTCAGATACTTGAAATTATAAATTTCTATATATCAGAGCACAGTAATGAATGGATAATAATTTCTTTATTATGACTTATATATTTTATTTCATCTTCAATAGAAACTGTATAAATTTTAAAGATGGGAAGTATTTTTAAAGTAATCATTTTTCCTTCACAGTAGTTGGAAAAAAATACTTTGACTCAAAGTTCAAGATGATTTATATACTATACGCTGTTACTTTGATAAACATGCTATTGATTTGTGTATTTCGAAAGATATGCTAGACTAATATTTAAATAAATTTTGTTTAACTACGGATTTCATGGGTAATTTTAAAAAAACACATCATACAATGAAAGTCACGAAAGGATTTAGTTTACAACAGCCACATGAAATGATCTTTTTTTTTCTCTCATTAAAATGTGTATATAATGCGTTTGGGACAAAAAGTAAGTCGTAAATGCTACATGAAAAAAGGAAAACACTTCTGTGAATGTTATCAGCTAGCATATGATCTGTATCACTAGAAAATTGTGAAATTTAATGTGCACCGAAACAGCAGACTGCTTTTTTGTTAGTATTTTTTGTCAGATCAAATAAGATGTAGTTTCATTTCATAAATCAGTATCCCATCTGTGCTGAACGAGATATGACCCTGGTAGCTCATAAAAGACACTAGTATATTCAATTTTCATGAAAATTCAGTATCGTAAAAGTAAATATAGTATAAATCATCAAAAATCATTTATTAGAAATATAAAACTAATTATTTAAAAATAGAAAGTATGATATTTGTGTAACTGATATGGGGTGCATATCCCTATTTCGGCAAATAATTGATTACAACTCAAATAGTTGTAGATCGGTGCATTGAAAGCTATCGATTTAGTAAACTTCGTTATTTATGTATTTCATGCGAATGTCACAATGTATCTTCACACATATCGACACATTTCGAAAATTATTTTCAGCCAGTGAAACGTCCAAGACTTTGACCGAAAATATACAGAGAAGACTAGGAGATTTTTAGCAGCTTATCACTTAGGTCAGTCAATAATCAATAAAAATATTAAAGTAGATCAAATTTATTAACCAACTGGAGGCATCAAAAACAGCTACAAGGTCAAAGGGAAAACAATCAAAATGAGTGTGTACAAACAAGGACAGAATGAGTGGTGATAACATTCAATCAAATCGATTGTTGACGAAGCACACTAATCGTCACTTAAGAAGAAATCTTAATAGTTCACTTCTTTCTAAAGTTTGTGCTAATGGTGATGCCTAGAAAAACAAAGAAGGCATTACGATTAAAAAACCTGATTCAGAGAATACATTTTTTACTTATTGACATTGAAAGATCGCAAAACTCGTTACATATACCCGTTTGCGATTAAGCTTCGAACTCAAAACTCGCTTCGGGCGAGATAAATTGATGAAAAGGAACCAATTATTTATTATAAGTACAGACTAACCTGTTAAAGTGACCGGACCAAATGCGGAAGCTTCGTTGTCAGAACTGCAATTCCAATGTCGAAATCGAAATTGTCGTTGACATTCATAAATGCCTAATTTTGCACCAATACTTATCACAGGCATATGATCAAAATAACGTTGACATAATTGAGTTTGTGAATGTGTCAAACCTTGAACACGTAAACAAAGTGGTTTTGGTGCTAGAAGAAATGCAGGACTTTGATGAATTGTTCTCCATGACAGTAGACCTAAATTCCTGAAAGAAGGAGATCAAAAGTGAAAATCAATAAAACGTAGTTTGAATAGATTGAATATTTTTAATGCTTAGGATTTTTCACTTAACACTAAGATAATAATACTGCTAATTAAATTTCGTGGTACTTTTACGCTTCTAAGGTAAGCACTTCATGAAGTAAGCAGTAGTTGGCTTTGAGTATATACGTTAATAGATACATTTGAAAACATATATTCACACAGTCCTTTGAAGAAAAACTTCTACATAGAAAGTAATTGGATGGAAGAACAATAATAAGGAAAACATTATTCATGAAGTCGATATTAAAAATTAGAAGTGTTTTAAATGATGACTGATCAGGATTAGACTGTGGTAAAAAAAAACCGCTTCCAATCCCAAAATGTTATTCAATATCATTAAAACAAAATTTGTGAGCAGACAATTTGCAATGAAAATACATTGTTACTTATTTACTGAAATATTGATTTCAGATTAAGAATTATTAATCAAGTAAAAGGAAAAAATTAATTAACAAATCGATTAAATTAATGCCATTAAACAATTAGTGCAATTGAACTTCTAATTATTAGCTAATAAGCGGAAAATATTTCATTTGAAGTATTGTGTTTGATTTGTATTGTATGAACATTTTTTTTAACAGAAGAAACAGTTCTGAAATGAAATAAGGTTTAGATATAAAAAATAATTGCATTTTTAGAAAAGACCGAAATGTCATTGAAGCAAGTTTACATAAGATGATGATGATTATTAATGGCTATTATTCATTTTACCCGTCATTTAAGCTTAAACTATATAAGATTTATATTTCTATGTACGTTTTTAATAATTTTTATTGTATGGATGTTAAACATACTACTCACAGTCTTCTAGACAAAGTTTTTTGAATTGTGATCTTAACTTTAAATAGTTTTGTAAATAGTTTTCTAACTGATTAGTTACTTCTGAATAGTAGCAGTGATTTACAAACGTAACCCCAAGTAATTTATAACGATTTAGAAAATTCTGATAAGAATGAATATTATTACTAATCATAAATTTAATGAAATTAATAATAGTAGTTTTAATTATCATCATAAATTGTGTCACAGCATCGATTATACAATAAATTTCCTTAACAAACTTGAAGACCTCAGGTCCAATCTCAATTAAAGTACATCAAAGAAGTGTCATTTAAAACCATGTAGACAATTATATAGATCCTAGATAAAATATAGACGTGATGATAATCTCTAATTAACTGTGCTAATCTATACGATTCAATGAATATTATTTTTAAGATAACAAAAAAAGGATAACTGAAAATAAATTTTATGGTATACAGTTAAGGTTAGGAGGAGGATATATTTGATAGATTTTAATGAAGTGAATAAATGTACTCACTCATGTCGATGAAAATCATATGATCGTCCAAATTTAATGGTTGACTAGATTGATTTGGTACTCACATTGAAATATCAAAGTGTAACGGAGTCAAAATCACTATGTATGGTGTTGCTAACCCGTTCTGTTTTCTTTTTATTGCAGGGCAATCAAACATAAACGCTTGGGAAGCTGAAGAACAAGCCCTGCGTGCTCTGAACTTACAGGATGACTCATAAGATTTCGACAAACTAGCCATCCCTTTTCTATGCAAAAACCCGCGTTATTTAATTTTAGAATAAACAGTGCCGTGCTACCACTTCGTGCTCTCTCTTGGTGTGAGGTGTTAAGCTAACCTTGTGTGTTGTGATTTTAGATCTTATCGGCCCTTCAGTGACTGCTGATTACACGTGTTACAAAAGTAATGCTTCGAATGTCAGTTTAATAAGTTGAAATGAAAAGTCTATTATTAAACTCAGCAATCATTTACTCTGCATTTTTCTTTTAATGTTTGATCACATATTACATAACACAGAAACTATCTAATTGAATTATTCAAATAGTTACTTTGATTATTACACTCCTTGTCCTCCAGATTAAGTAATATCATTTATTATTCTTTATGACATTATATGATTACTAAGTGACGTAACTCCTCAATGAGCATTGCACCATTTTGGATAACAAGATGAAAAGGACATGTCAGAATTCCAGGAAACATTTCGAATAATATGGTCAGCCATTCACTTCTTAAGACGTTATATGTGAGAGAAATATTTAACATCAAGATGAATAATAGTCATAATAAAGTACTTTTATTTTGTCCAGTTGATGTTTTCATATATATTTTTTCATATAGAATCTCTTAGGAAATATATATGTCACTTGATTGTTCGAAATGTATTACGTAAATTTATCATCACATAATTCTGAAAATTTTCTTCTTCAATATTTTCAATTAGAATTATGGAGATTAGTGTTTTTACACATTTGAAATCATCAATCAATCATTGTTAGACCACCATTAGAAATCTGGAAGCACTGGATAGCCGTTTCGTCCTGGTATGGGACTCATCAACAGTTAGGTGTTCGTGCACAATACTGAAGGTCCCGGGTTCGGATCCCGCGGGGTGCAGGAATCGTGGGTGCGCACTGCTGATGAGTCCCATACCAGGTCGAAACGGCCGTCCAGTGCTTCCAGGTTTCTGATGGTGGTCTAACAATGATTGATTGATGATTTCAAATTTTCTTCTTATCTTCTCATCATCCGAATTCATCAAACAGACTAATTGTATGAAGTTAGAAATTACATATATCAGTGTAGGGCGATGATGAAAAACTAATTGAATAGCGATTTCTTCTTTCTACTAGACATAACTTATTTGTAATGAAAATGATCTTCGCATCAAGCAATCTGACGAACAATGACCGAAATAATACAACTTTATGTACGATCAAGTATACTGTAGTTTAAAATTTAAAAACAGTTATCATACAAATTATACTAATCGATATGGTTCGGATTGTTGAGTGTTCAGTAAACGTTTTCAAGTTAAACTTACTACTTGAATATTGAATTGAACAAACGAGGCATGAATAAAACAGAGCATGTATACATAAATACAAGGTTAACTACCTATTTTTACTTTCAAATCATAGTTCCCATGTTTTGTATTCATATTAATTAATATGTGTGTAAACCAATATGAATTCAGATCTAATGAGTGATAAGTGTGGCCGGAAACTTTGGAACTGATCACTTATCGTAGTATTCATTATTTTTTTAAAGTTAATTTATATTCATATCTATAATCTGTGTCAAAAAATCTTCTGTTTACAATTTCTCAAGTTTATAGAGAGTTAAAATTTCGAAGAAATTGATATCTGTTGTATTATCTGAATCTGTTTCACTAGGGTGTCAGAGCTAGAGGTTATTCTATTGACAGCAACCGTTGATTTAGTTCTCATAACATCAAATAAACTTGTTCAAACCTCATAGACGAACAAAATCTAATTATCATTAAGCTCTAGTACTAATTTAAAATGAGTTGAGCTATATAGAGAAGTTAGGAAAAGATTGCCTGCTCTGTATATATCACTTATACTGCATGGCAAGAAGTGTTGTGATATGTCTTTAGCTTTGAAAACATTTTTTCAACCATCATCGATCAAATATGTTAATAGTGTCAAGAAAATGTTAAATTTTTTGAATAAAATACAATGGTTATTTCTCTCTAGTTATTAGTTTAGCCAAACATATTGTTACTGGTTAGTTGCCTTAGAAAATGGAGTTTAAAATCAGATTTTAAGAAATGATGTTTAAGCGTAGTTATGTAGAAATCAGATCTTAAATGTTAATAATATTATTAATTGAATTTGTTTCAATTTTTGAATTTTCTTTTCTCTTACAAACACACAATGACTTTCAAATGGACTGTTAAATAAACGCAAACGAAATCAAGCGTTTGTTTATATAAAGTACGTTTTTTTTTATACGGAGAACATATGATTTATGTGATGTAATCTTAAGAATATTTATTACTTAATTTTTGACAATAATTTTGAAAGTGATAATCAGGAAGTTGAGCGTATCGATTAATAGGAACATGGAAAGCATTAAAACCGATTATATCAATACACATAAAGAAGATAGGATTATTAAATAGTCAGTGACTTAATAGTAGTTTTTTTTCAGACAACGACAAGGAAATTTCGTTTTGGCCATTAAAAGTGGAGAAGTATAAAGACTGTTAAAATTAATCTACTAAAATAAACATTACTGCCATGATAGTTTATAGTTCAATGTCCAATAAAAGATTGGTACTATTTATACTGAATGGAAATGTAGTGATAATGTTTGGAAAAATTGTATCCTTTTAATAAAATTTATAATTTTTTTTTATTTCTTACAAATAATTTTAGTTAAAATCTATATTTTGTTCTTAATATGAAATAAACAATAATTCAGTACAGGAATCCAATACAGCGTAAAAGTTTTTTTTCCTTTTTCAAAAAAGATTTATGTATTTAAACAATCAGCGATTAGTCTTAGCAGAACAAATAGAATGCATTCAGTCACATTATTTACAAATCGATCTCATCTGAATCATAATCCAATTCAGAGAAATAACGTAAAGACACAAATTATTGTTTATTTTTGAATGTTAGATTCTACAAATTGATTAGAAAACTTTCGTTGTCAATCTGAACAGTGATATCGCCAGTGTATGTACCTTAAGTCGATGGGAATGCACATCAAACATAAAATAAAAAGGATTGGCTAAGTTGATTTGTGAGCGATGGTGGTTCTGAAAGGTCTCGAAACTAACACTTCCACATACTGAAAGATAATCATGAAGGAAGAAAAGTTGAAAATTATTTAGAAAAGGTCACAAATGATTTAGTCAATGAGAGCGATAATAAACAAAATTATAGTTTTTCGAATCCTTTAAAAAAAAATAACGAACTAGTATTATAAAAGCTTTTCACAGCAAACGAAACTGGTTCTTATACATTCAAAACTTATTTCTTGTTGTGCAAGATAAAAACAAAAGTGAAGTTTACTGGGGAAATGGGAAAATCTGAATCTGTGAAACATTATAGTTTATTCATACACATATTGTTCGCTGTATCAGCTGCTT